CTATGACCGGCACAATCGGCTTACTTGCGGCACACTGACAAAAAAGATGACCCAAGATTGGTGTGTGGAGTGACCTACCCCTTGCCCCTTCTCTTAAACTTCGAGGCAAATAAGCTTTTCCAAAAATAATATTGCATTCTTGAAATTTTTTGCAGAACAATCAACAAAATTCTTGGAAATAGATTATTTTCGTAGTTGGAAATGCTTAACATCAAATACCATAATTAAAGTAGATATTTTATACGATAGATGAGAAGATGAAAGTTAAGAGTTGATAGTTCCGGCAGTGTGAAATTTGTATATAGAAAGAAGAAAGCGAACAAAGGACAATTTTGAGGAAGGTACGAATCGGGTAGATCATCTCCTTTACCAAGCTACCGTTAATGAGGGACGGTGAGGGGTGTTTTCCCTGCCACCACTGGCAAAAGGGAAACCTCATGAACCTCCGATGTGCAGAAACAATTCTATCGATTGTTTCACACTCAAGTCGCCATCTGACGAAAACAACTACCCGATTCGTACCTTCCTCAAAATTGTCCTTAGCTCGCTTTCTACTTTGTATATTCAATTTTTACATTGCCGTACTATAACTCCTCATCTATCGTATGAAATGTCCACTTTAAGTCTGATATTTGACGTTAAGCAACTCCTACTATGCAAATCGTTAAATTCACACATGAAGTAATAACAGATGATAAGTTAAAGTAGATTACTTTCGATTTTTTATTGATTCTTTAAGGAACTCTCTGAAGGCTCGTTCCATAAATCCATTTTAAATTAATTTGAATTCTCCTTAAAATTTCCATGCAATTAACCTCAGAAATTACATAAATTTATGCTTATAATAATCTTGGACTTTTCCCCTGCATTCAATTTGAAATTCAATTCGTATTCTCCTTAGAATTCCCTCAGTTTTTCCTCAGAATTCTCAAAACAAAAATCCAACACAGAATAACTTTGAAACTCTTCTCAGATTTCCTTTGAGATTGAACCCTTTGGAATTCTCGGAATTTATTTCGAATTCTTTAGAATTCTCTTGGAAGTATCATCAGAAATCATCCTTATTTCGAACTCTTTAGAATTCTCTTGGAAGTATCTTCAGAAATCATCCCAGATTTCTTTTAGAACTACCCGCAGAGACCATCTTTGGAGTTCACAGGATTTTCATGGAATTTTCATTAGAGCTCTTTTAAGCAAAATTTCAGAACTAATTTTGATTCTTATTGGAAATAGACCTAGAATCTTCATCCAATCATCATAGACTTCTTCTCAGAACTCTCGTGAAAATTGAACCCTCCATTAAATTGGAATTATTTCCAAAATTGTTTCGTAGCTGATTTTTGCGTCTCTAATAATTTAAACAATAATCAAAAGCGACGCTCGTGTGTTTTAAGCCAAGTTTAACTATATAGGTAATCCTGGCTTAAGATTTAAGCGGAGATGAAGAAATCGGTCCTCACAGCACTTAATTTTACATGAGACTTTCGTCGTCTGTACTTTGGTATTTTTCTCTGATATATATTGGTGTCATCCCTAGAATCCTTTAAAATTCTCTTTAAATTTACTTATCATCCTTAGAAGACTTTTCAAAATCTATCACAGACAAATACCTTTGGAAAGTTTCCAAGGTTTACAATTTATTTTCTGGGAAGGAGGTATATTTTCCCCCATTTTTAATAGAAATTGGAGGCATTTCCCAATAGTTTTCCTGGTGTTCTAACGTTAACGTTCTGGTTAAAATTTTCACTCTACTTTAGTAGTGAAAAAGTGACTTTAGTGACTATTTTTAGAGAAATAGTGACTTTAGTGACTTTTTGTTTTAAAAAGTGGCTTCAAAATAGTGACCAAGTCACTAAAAAGTGACCTGCTACCAGCCTTGCAGGTCCCAACGCATCATTTGTTCATCGACTTTAAGGCGGCATACGACAGTATCGACCGAACAGAGCTATGGAAAATCATGGACGAGAACGGCTTTCCTGGGAAGCTGATCAGACTGATCAAAGCAACGATGGACGGTGTGCAAAACTGCGTAAGGGTTTCGGGTGAACTATGTGAACTAATCTTTCGAATCTCCCCGGGGACTGCGACAAGGTGACGGACTCTCATCATGCCTACTCTATGTGCTACTCTTCAACGTCGCTCTAGAAGGTGTAATGCGACGACCCGGGCTCAACAGCCGGGGTACGATTTTCACGAAATCCGGTCAATTTGTGTGCTTTGCGGACGACATGGACATTATCGCAAGAACATTTGGAACGGTGGCAGAACTATACACCCGCCTGAAACACGAAGCAGCAAAGATCGGACTGGTGGCGAGTGCGTCAAAAACAAAGTACATGCTAGTAGACGGAACCGAACATGACAGGATTCGTTTAGGAAGTAATGTCACGATAGACGGGGATACTTTCGAGGTAGTGCAGGAATTCGTTTACATTGGATCCTTACTGACGGCTGACAACAATGTGAGTCGTGAAATACGAAGGCGCATCATCAGTGGAAGTCGTGCCTACTACGGGCTCCAGAAGAAACTACGGTCAAAAAAGATTCACCCCCGCACCAAATGTACCATGTACAGAACGCTAATAAGACCGGTGGTCCTCTATGGACACGAGACATGGACTATGCTCGAGGTGGACCTTCAAGCACTCGGAGTTTTCGAGCGACGTGTGCTAAGGACGATCTTCGGCGGTGTGCAGGAGAACGGTTAGTGGCGGCGAAGAATGAACCACGAGCACGCTGCACTCTACGGCGAACCCAAAGCCGGAAGGATGCGGTGGGCAGGGCATGTTGCAAGAATGCCGGACAACAACCCTACTGATCCGGTTGGCACAAGAAGGTGTGGAGCGCAGAGAGCTCGATGGGCGGGCCAGGTAGAGCGTGATCTAGCGAGCATTGGGCATGACCGAGGATGGAGAGCGGCAGCGGCAAACCGAGTATTGTGGCGTATTATTGTTGATTATGTCTTATCTTAAATGTGATGTTGTACAAATAAATGTATGTTTGTGGGATTCAACATCAGAGCATGTTAGTGGAGACCGCATGAACCGAGGATGCGATATAGCTAGCTGCGGTCCAGTGCAAGAAAATTGGAGAGTGAGTGAGTGAAATGAATTATATCGAAACAAATTGGAAAAAGGTTGCCGTCGTGGTTCGAACGTGGCGATTATCAGATCTGTGCTTTCTCCATGCTTCTGAATATGGATTGCCTAAAAGCAAACACGAAGCGCTCATTTCCCCTCATACTCGGTTTCGTATGCTTTTTCTGCTGGAGAGATTCGAGGCAAGTATGTGCGTCGTTCTACAATGTTATACATAAAAAGCTTACTGGTATAGTCCAAAGCGTAGATAGAACACGAAATGAAAAAGACAAAAAAAAACCATTACATCGCCTGTAAGGTCTCCTTCTAACATTCACTGCGATGTTCATGAACAGAGAATGATAGGAAGTGGAACTAACATTCATAGTAATAAATTTTTGGTTTGAGTGTACGTTTTTCGTTGATTTTCCGATTTTGAATTTGTACGTAATTTTCAAAACTATTCCAAGTCCATGGGGCTTCAAAAAAGTGCCCTAAAATTATATAGAGGTTCCCGATCAATAATGAGCTTCCCTGAAATAAAATAATGTTCCCTTAACTTCTACGAAGCTTCTCAAACTAAATAAAGTTTCCACTTCTACGCAGTTTTCAGAACTTTTCCAAGTTTTGTCTGTAGTTCTATGAAATTCCCAGATTTTCTAATAAGCTTCCTCAATTTCTGCGATGTTTCCTAAACTTCTTAGAAGTAATTGAAGTTTTACGAATTTCCCAACAGTTAAATAAAACCCCTTGAGCTCATGGCCAATTTATAGAGCCTGAAGACGTCTTATTATGCCATCGATCAAATATCGATGTAATATGATTTGTCAAAATTTCTTCTTCTAGTCCTGGTCTAGGAGAAGAAATTTTGAGAAGTCATATTGTATTGATATTTAAACGATTGCATAATAAGACGTCTTCAGGCTCTACAAATTGGCCATGAGTCAAGGAAACAGTAGTTAACATAAAGGACTTTGACAAAAGATTAGTAACAGCTAAATTGGCAAGCTTGACAAAATACCGGTGAACAAAAAAAAAACATCAAAAGTTCTGGGGGGGGGGGCTGGTCCCCTTCGTACCCCCATTAGCCACGCCAATGGTTATTACTAGGATATCGTTGCTTGCTTTTATCAGAATTCATACAAGCACAACATCAGCAGCTCTTATTATGAGAAAAACTAAAATACTTACATTCGTGACGGTCTTCGGCGGCAGTGTCGTATGACAGCGCCTGTCATATGACATTTTAGTTTGCTACTGTAATTTGATAACTTGTTTTGCAAGTGTTGGAAGCAAAGGCAGTCGATTATCACAGAAAATGTGTCGACTACGGTGATCGCTTACAAGACTGCCTAGGATTACGAAAGGTAGTTTTGGTATCACAGCAAATGTATAATATATATTAAATTGATTCCTTAACTCATTATCAGTGAAAAAGTTCGATAGGTTGAAATTCGGAAGCAATTTGAGAGTTCTGTTTGTGTGGTGCTCTGTCGGTGTCCTTTTATCAGTAATTTGTGGTCCTGAAAAGGACCGATGGTTTGGAAGCTTGGAAGCCAGTTTAGAACAATGCTGTGGAAATTTGTCCTCGATATTCTTGGAGATGGTAGCAGTGCGGAAATGAAATATGTACTGTCCACGAGGTGAAAAATCGAGTATTTTATATGAGATTTTCACATCGCTTCGATCTCTGAACAGGCCTTTACATGGAACACTAGTGTATAATTAGTAATGAAAATCTGTCACTTTTCTTCCAACCGTCAACCGAACTAGACTTTCTTGTTACACTCTTCCAATAAACCTACCAATCGTTATGCTTCTCTAACCAAATTTCCCGGAAAAATAATCATCTAAAGTTAATGACGCTTGCTCGGTAATCTGGCAATTATACTTGTTAAAATAATCATGAATTACCATACAAACCTTATGTTTCATTAGGTCATCAGTACTGGCGAACGTGCTTCTGCAAATGATGCAAATAGTCATCTCATCTATCTTCTCGACACTGCGTTGCTTTTGCTCTTCAGTGCAATTTGCACCTTCCATATTCGCATTTCTCATAGGCCTGTCCCCATGATGATCTCGTTTCTTGTGGTCCTCTACTCTGCTTACGCCGTTGAACTTTTGACCACACAATTCACATGAATATCTTAAACGTGGACAACTTGCCACATGGTTTTGAAAACGATATCTAATGTGAAATTTCATCGTACAATAAGGGCATTGGAACCTTTCTTTAGAGTGTTTAGTCAGCTGGAATAAATGAGAATTTAAAAAAATATAGGAACAGCACTAAAACTACAGCTTAACCGACGTACCTTATGATAATAGAACTGGTAATAGGTAGACATAGTAATACTACAGATTTTGCACGAATATGGCATTTTCTCGTTCTCTTCGACATCCATGAAGTGATCTTCGTACAAGTTATCTAAAGAGTGCTCATTCAATCGAGAATCTGCAAAAAGAAAACAATTCCTTCGTAATTATTCGTCGTTCTATCTAAAGTCAAACTATACCCACGTGAAACATCAACTTTGGAGGATGGATTAACCGTTGATTGTCCTTGGTCATCACGTGCCGATATCGTAGTGTCCTCTGATGTGATTTCCATTTGCAGACCATTGTTCGGGGCTTGTTTTTGATCTTGGGCGGTTTTAAAATTTTCCACACTGCTCTGATCTCCGTTATTGTGATCTTTGGGTGAGCTGAATTGTTCCAACGTGTTACCACTTAAGTTACGTGGATACAGCTTATGCTTACACACAAAACAATGTTTTGTATATTCTATTTTGCTCTGAATTTTTTTCCCACAAATTGGGCATTTATATTTCGGTTCTGTGTGGCATTTCATCTGCAATGAACAATAAAGGCTGTTTAACAAATTGTAAAAGATAAAGTTGCAATCAGGCTTTGCTAGAATATCAACTACAGCTTCTTTTGCTGTGTAAAAACTTTCATTTAGACCAAGTATAACATTCCAAGAAAGACGTAAAAAGTAGCCAATTCTACGTAATAAATAAACTATTGTTCTTTAACTTAATTCAAAATTGTTATCTAATTTAAAAATGAAAATTCGAGTTATGAGTGCTTGTTCATTGATAAAAAAAATAATAATGCCAAAGTTACATGAGTGAGAATTCAACAAACAATTTGAAAATGAGCCTGATAGCAAATGAGAAAAACGAGTGCAACAAACCTTATGATTTTTGATTTCTGATATACCAAGAATAGTTATTCCGCAGATATCACATTTCGTCAGCTCATGGACAATTTGCAAGTGATGAATCAAATACCCTGGACTGGACAACTCTTCGTTGCAGTAGTAACATTTGGTTTTGGATAAGCCGTTTTCAACGATAGGCGGTGAAATTTTCTCCCCTACGGAACAAGAATCACTTTCATCGCATAGGCTCGTTTTGGTTTTCGCCTGCTTTTCCTTCTTGCTCCTTGCATATGGACGACAAAAGTTGCTCCAATGTTGTTTGACAGCTTTTACATCTTTAAACAATTTACCACAAAACTCGCAAGGAGTTTTCGTACTCGTACATTTAGTTACATGTTTTTCAATCTTATCTCTCCTGCAAAACTGCATCGAACAATGTGGGCATTTTTGCTTCGATTCCTTGTGCTTCGTTTTCTGTATTGGACGATAAAAACAGTACATTAGAGTAGCGGTTCTCAAACATTTGTCGATTGTGACCCACTTTGAACAGAAAAATCATAGGCAATGAAAAATGCAAAACAAACATTCCAAACAGGTGTCACAAATGCCTTAATGGCCTTAACCCTCCGTTACTTGCGCTGTTGTACTTTGGACAACACACATGAGTTTTCCATTGCCATTTTGTCAATCTAAAACCAACGAGTATTCCTCAAAAAACTTGTTTTGATCTAAACAAGCTAAGCTTTGATTACAGTAAACACCTAAAAAATGCGGATAATAGGGAAAATGTACATGGAAACCGCGTAAACTGTGACCATACTACGTGGGATTTAACTTAATTGATTACTGTTGGCACAACCATGCCAGCAACGAATAAAGTTAATGATTTGAATTACTAGATTTGATACAGTGTAGCTTACAGCACACGACCCCATGTAACTGACAGTAAAAATAAAGTTTTAGTTCCTACCAGTGATGCAAAATATCATAACACTCACGTGACACTCGTCTTCACATCAACCGACTATCGCTGACAGATCGTTTTGTCACGTAGTGAGAGGTAGAGCCATGGCAAACAACAATCATCAGTAATGGTCGCTGCTCACAAGCAAAACGTTACACTCGCTGCTGATGATGAAAAGCACAACGAAAACAGTGAAGACTTCTGCAGTACGATCATGAGAAAAAGCAAAACGACAGAAGAAAATGAAAACAATGCCTACACATTCCAAGTTCGTGTCGGCAGGCGCGAGTGTGTGAGTTACTAACAAAGCAGGCTCACTCACCAACACACTCACTGTTGGCAAATGAACAACAGGGACGCTGAAGTAACTGAACCCCTATCAGAGAAATTGGCAACACGGCGAGTAGAGAGAATGACAGCCAATACATCCTGATCAAGGACTGCACAAGTGCAAAAGCGGTTTGGAATGCGCTGAAAGCGTATCACGAAAAAGCTACGATTACGTCGCAGCTATCGTTATTGATCCGGCTGTGTGAAACGAAGCTGAGTGAATCGGGAAACGTAGAGAAACATCTACTGGATATGGATTCGCTCTTCAAGCGCCTGGAAGATGCTGGTCTCAAGCTGGAGGAGAAACTGAAAATCGCCATGGTACTTCGGAGTATGCCAGAGTCGTACCATTTTCTGGCATCGGCTTTGGAAGCTCGCCCCGACGGTGATATCACCATGGAGCTGATCAGGACTAAGCTGCTGGATGAGTACCGGAAGAGACAGGAACGTGCAGGAAAGCCGGACGCTGATGAGCGGGTACTGAAAACGCAAAAGGTGAGCAAGGACGTAGTGTGTTTCTTTTGCAAGAAACCAGGCCACTTCAAACGGGATTGCCGAAAGTGGCAGGCTCAAAACGCGGAAACGCAGGGAGCATCCGGAAGCAAACCTTCGAAGGGCAACCAGCGGCAAGCGAAGGCTAAGCAGGCGACGGATTCGAGTGATGGAGCTATTTGTTTTTCGGCGAGTGAAACCAATGAAGCCATCTGTGCAGCAGTGAAGCCGGGAAAGTCGTGGACAATTGACAGCGGTGCGTCGTGTCACATGGCTAACAAGGAAGTTTTTTTTCGAAGAACTGGAGGAGAGAATGGCTAACGGAGTCTGTACGAGATCGGGTGGTCATGGTTGCGGAACTGTGAAAGTTTGGAATGGCGCCGAAGGATCAGTCGACATCCAGCTGGAGAAGGTGTTGTATGTACCGGAACAGGACAGCGGGCTGTTATCCGTAAGCAAAATCACTGATAACGGATATAAAGTGCTTTTCAAGCAAGATACCGTCGAAGTCCTGAGCAATACGAACAAAGTTGTCGTTCAAGGTGAGCGGTGTGGAGGATTGTACGTCCTTAAGGAGGAAGAGCGTGCAACGCTGGCGGTAACTCATAAGCACACCGTGAATTGCCAACATACTTGGCATCGCAGGTTCGGCCATCGCGATCCTGCGGTAATGGACCGACTGCAGAAGGAACAGCTAGTGACGGGGATGAAAGTGGTCAATTGCGGAGCGAAGATCGTTTGCGAGTGCTGCATGGAGGGAAAGATGGCCCGACTGCCATATCCGCAGCAAGCAGCACGGAGGACGACAGAACCGTTGCAGCTTATCCACACGGATCTGTGTGGACCTATGTCAAACGTGACTCCAGGCGGTAAGAAATACTTCATGTCGCTGATTGACGATTACAGCAGGTACATGGTGCTCTACCTGCTGAAGGACAAACCGGAGGCGAATGACTGTATCAAGGATTTTGTACGGCTGGTGCAGAATAAGTTCGGAAGAAAACCTCGGGTGATTCACTCCGACCGGGGCGGTGAATTCGTCAATAAGGAATTGAAGCGCTTTTACCGGAATGAAGGCATTGAAATTCAGCTGACGGCGGGATATGCACCACAGCAAAACGGCGTGGCAGAACGCCGTAACCGCTATCTGCAGGAAATGGCTGTCTGCATGCTCCTTGACGCTAATATGGAGAAGCGTTATTGGGGTGAGGCGATTGCAGCGGCAGCATACGTGCAAAATCGTCTGCCATCGCGTTCGGTACAGAAAACTCCGTTCGAGCTGTGGAACGGCGAAAAGCCAGACCTGAGTCACTTGAAGGTATTCGGGTGTGACGCTTTCGTATATATTCCCGACGCGAAGCGCGGGAAGATGCAGAGCAGAGCCGAGAAGCTAACCTTCGTCGGGTATGCGTGTGGTTCGAAGGCATATCGTTTTCTGGACAAGAGGTCTAACAGAATAACGATCAGTAGAGATGCTAGGTTTGTGGAGCTTGGTCCAGAGCTTCAGGAGGAGTCGAAACTCCGCGAGTCGAACCAAGAAAGAGATCCGCCGAAGACTAGGAATGATTCACCGGAGCGGCAGGTTGCCGAGGAGATCGAAATTGATTTTTCTGGTGGAAAGAGTGATGCGGGCAGTATTTCGAGACAACAATGAGCCTAGGAAGTCACAGCGTAGTAATCTGGGAACGATGCCGAGTAGATACGGAGATTTCGTGGTTGAAGTAGCTCAAGTTGCAGTAGCGGAGCCGGTCAGTTACACCGAAGCCGTGAAAGGTCCGGACAAGGACAAGTGGGTCCGTGCTATGGACGAAGAATATCAGTCGCTGTCGGCGATGAACACTTGGTCGCTCGTACCGTTGCCAGCAGGACGACAGGCGATTGGATCCAATTGAGTTTACAAGCAAAAAAGGGACTCATCAGGACGTGTGACACGTTTTAAAGCCAGATTAGTCGCACAGGGATACGCGCAGCGGTTGGGTGCAGATTTCGGAGAAGTATTTGCTCCAGTCGCGATGCAATCAACTTTTCGAGTTCTCTTGGCAGTTGCGGGACATAAGAACTTGGAAGTGCGGCACATTGATGTAAGGAACGCATATCTCAACGGGCGGCTGGAAGAGGAGGTGTATATGCGGCAGCCTCCGGGGTACGCTGTTCCTGGAAAGGAAGAACTGGTGTGCAGGCTCCACCGAAGCCTGTACGGACTGAAACAGTCGGCGAAAGTTTGGCACTCCACCGTGAAGAAGGTGTTGCTGGAGATGGGATTCCGGCAGTCCGAGTCGGACGTCTGCTTGTTTATGAAGCAGCTGAACAGCGGAGAGTGGGTCTACTTACTACTTTACGTAGACGACATGATTGTGGCGTGCAGAGACAAGCAACAGCTAGACCGGCTGGAACAGGAGTTGCACAAGCGATTCGAGATTTCCTGTTTGGGAACAGTGAACCAGTTTCTGGAGATCAGAGTTCGTAAGGACGAACAGGGATTCTATTCTCTGAGTCAACAGGGATCTATTCGAGAAATAGCAGTGCATTTCGGTCTTGAAGGAGCTAAAAGCTCGAAGTTTCCTTTGGACCAAGGTTACCTGAAGTACCAGGAGAGTGAAGCTTTGCCGAACAACATCCAATACCAAAGTTTGGTGGGAGCACTTCTATACCTGGCGACAAATTCAAGACCGGATATTGCAGTAGCAGTTTCAATCCTTAGTCGGAAGTCTAGCAATCCGACTCAGCGCAATTGGATAGAGTTGAAGCGCGTCGTTCGATATTTGATCGGTACGGCAGACTACGAATTGAAGCTTTCCAGTGACCGAACGAAGAGGCTGACCCTAACCGGCTATAGTGACGCTGACTGGGCAGGAGATTCTGCAGACCGCAAGTCCACAAGTGGATATGTGTTTCTTGTCGGCGAAGCAGTAGTCAACTGGGCGAGCAGGAAGCAGGATTGCGTCACCACGTCAACGATGGAGGCCGAATATGTGGCGCTTTCGGTGGCAGCATCCGAAGCTGTATGGTTGCGTAGATTGCTGAGCGAGTTGGGAGTTGTGTCAAACCAAGCAACGATCATCTACGAGGACAATCGGAGCTGCATCGATTTTGTGTCTCTGGAGAAGCAAAATAAGCGAAGCAAACATATCGACACGAAGGTTCATCATGCGAAGGATTTGTGTTCACGAGGAGTCATACAGTTGGAGTACTGTCCTTCCGACGAGATGGTGGCAGATGTGTTCACAAAGCCACTGGGACCAACCAAGATGATGCAGTTTGCTAAGCAGCTAGGACTTGTTCAGTGAATCAGCGAGGAGGAGTGTTGGCAAATGAACAACAGGGACGCTGAAGTAACTGAACCCCTATCAGAGAAATTGGCAACACGGCGAGTAGAGAGAATGACAGCCAGGCGGTGTATTGAAGTAAAACCTCATTCCTTTAGTTACAGTGCGAAATAAAAACACGTTGTTTTTTTCAAGTCCGATATTTATACTTTATTTTGACGCGTTTACGAATTCCCCACGGTTAATTCCACTTCGGAACGTCCACCTAATGCCCATACTCACATAAGCAAGCAAAGCAGCAACTGCTTCAAAACGAGCACAGATGAGTGTCGTGATTGTCGGGAATGATCAGATCGGTGATGGATCACAACCGAAGACGACATTCACCAGTTGCTTTTTACTTCTTTCGTCAACTTGATGGA